CATGAGGGAAAAAACTTATTCTTCTTTTTACATGTTCTTAAGCAAATGGAAGCAAGGGCACCACCCTTCGGCAGCTTCGGAAGTGGAGCTCTCGCCGCGAGGGCGGAATTTTGGTCCAAGCCCCAGTGCCAGGAGCCAGGGAGTTGGATCTCCGCAGACTTCCACTTGCTTGAGACCTTTTTTCTTGTTTTTCTTCCCCTTTTGGTGGTTAAAGGGAATCGATTTCACTACTGGAAATATCATCTATTTTCTCCAGGGGGGCGAAAAAGCAAGTGGAAGCAAAGAGATATATCCGGGGGATTGTCTTTTAGGGGAACCATGTGGTGAGTTCACCAATGGGTCAACGGGGATAAACCCAAGAAAAAAAACATCCTTCGGGTGCCTGAAAAGGGACCAGGGGCGTGGTTGGTCAAACAAACTTTCCAATGAAACCTATCCCAAATGCTCGCAGTATGTGCCACACATGTACCCTCCAAATGGTCAAGTATGGGCTAAGAAAGGCCCCCAAATGGTTTGGTTTGCTTCCGGAGCAAGCCAAACAGGTTTCCTAAGATGTGAATTGGCCATGGGTCAAAATCCGTGTTTTTAGTGAACATCCCAATCCCCACTAAAATAGACCAAAATGGCGGTGCACCTACCCCAAAATGGTACCATTGGTTTTGACCCACAGCCAATTCAAGCGGCTTTTGCGCTTCAACACCGTGAAGGTCGAAAAACCGGAGGTCTGCACAGGGGTACATTGAAACCATTCTCAACCCATCCATCTGTTTGGTTCTTCCAGAAAACCGCGCAACAACCCTGTTTCAATACGGCTGGTGTTGAGAGTGAGCCATGTTGAAACGAATGGAGAGTCAACCCCCAAGATCTCAGCTGAATGGAAATGAACCAATTCAAGATGAGAAAAGACACAACAAACAAACAAACAAACAAACAAACAAACAAACAAACAAACAAACAAACAAAGCAAACAAAGCAAAGGATGGAGCCACTTCCACTAAGACTGCCTCCTTTGGAAGTCCGAAATCGGTAAACGAAGCGGCTGACCCACGCACCGGCAAGCTGCTCAAGCGCAACTTCTTGTCCTTTCCGATCACGAAGAGGCCACGTGCCGGAGAGGTGTCCTTGTTGGGGGACTCCGCTGGCAAAAGGCCTCAGATGAGTTCGTCGAATTCGTGGAATCTCATGTCTCAGAACTGGATCTCAGGAGCCCATGCTCAGATTCCCATGTTTTCTGGGTGGTTTGGAGGTTAGGAAGTGGTTTCCCATTTTCCCTCTACCACCCAAGCCACCAATCACCAACCACCAACTAGGGGTTGCCTGACATTCAGCTTTCTGCGATTTTGCCACCCGCTCGGCACTCATGTGGTGTGGAGGGCCCTGCTTGTTCCAGGACAGTTTCAGCATTGAACTTTCAACTGCAAACCTCTCCCGTCCACCAACCTTGCGCCATAGAAAAAAGGGGGGCATATGTTCAGACTCCGTTTCATATTCAGTCTGCCCCAAGATATACTTTGTTCATAGTTCTGGAGGAGACCAAGCGGGACACTCTTCTTGCTGGTGGGCCTTTTAAAGGGAACCACCTCCTTTTCAAAAGGAAAATCCGCGCCACAGGTCTCCAGAATCGGTGTCCAACAGAAAAACCTGACTGCCCGGTGTGACTCAGAATTCAAGAACTACTGTGGATGGACGAAATCCGTTCGCACCACCTAAGAAACCCAGGTTGAAACCACTGCTTGTTGGTATTTAAAGCAGACATCATCATTCCAGGGTTTCTTAGGTGGTGCGAAACACATTTCGTCCATCCACAGTAGGGAAACGCAGGTTTTAGTCTTTGGTTCCATTTTTGAGCCACAGACATATGGACCAAATCACGGAAACCAACTGGTGAGGAACGGTTGTTTCGCTTTGGTAGCAAGTGAGCTAATGTTGACCCCAGATTAATCCAGTTCATGAATAGCGGGGTGTCCCTGAGTGAAATGTGGGAATCAGACCACTTTTGGAGGGCCTCCACCCCCCTAATTATTAATAACAGGGGTTGATTACTCTGGGAGAAACATTGCTTGGGTTTGCACATTGCTTGGGTTTTCAACCGACGTGGTAAGTGGGTTACAAGGGGACGATCACCCCAGTTGCCCCAGCAAAAAATACATGGTTGCAGATTGCTTGCTAACTTGGCCAACACGCAATTCGTATCTCCGACGACTCTTGA